TGTTGCTTCTAATGTTGATAACGATACAATATTGAATTTAGACTAAAGGACATTGGGAACTTTACTATGAGAAAATGCCCCACGGCGGACAAAGATGAAACGTATTTTATTTTAAAGCCTTATACTTGTAGGTATATTCACTTAAAGCGCTATGTTGTGACATATCGCACCTTTAAAGTTAAACCGTTACTAAACGAATTTTTCGCAAAAATGAGTTATCAACGCCATTTTACTAAAGGACACGTAAACTACAATATGAAATAGACCACTTCTTCAAAATTGCCTTCTTACGCCATCTAGCGTTAAAGCATAACGTTACTAAGCCAAACTTTGAACGGCTCGCTAAATACAATAACGGGTCTATGCAAGTAAGAACGTGTTTGTTGCGGAGTGATGACGAAAGTTTAAATTCATAATGTGATTATTTGGATAGTAGCGGCCGTTCTTCACAAAAATGGTAAGTTGTTTAGTTTTTTTAATGAGTAAAGTGTGACTATATGTTTAAACACAGTTTTCGTTTAAAAAAAATACACAATTCATTATAAAATTTCTTTGGTAAACGGTAACAGTTGGTATAGTCACAGTTTGCCTTTATTTTTTTAGGTATTTATCTAATAATATTTATCACTAAAGAGNGGAATTCTGAGATATGACGAGTCTAAGTTGAAAATATATTTGTCTAAAATGATTTGATATTTTTACATGTTATGTTGTTTGGCATTGCAGAGTAACCAATAAAGTAAATAAAATAATATAAATAAATAAAATATTATAATTAAATTAATATTAGACAACATCTCATACATTACTCCAACCCAAAATAAGTACCTAGCTAAGGCATTTGGGTTATGGAAATCGGGAACGACGAACCACAATACACCCAAACCAGAGACAATGTGAAGAGATCGTTTTCTATATTGTCCCGGCCGGAAATCGAACCCGGGACCTCAGGATTGGTCCGGCACACGTTGAAAACCGGTGTGTGCGCCTCTCCGCCACGGAGGTCGTCAATAATTTTACCTATGTGTATTTTTTACTTAATTATATTAATAAACTAATATACTGTATTAGACAATTTAAAAATATTTTTTATAGTAAATAATTAATAATCATCATCATCACCAAGTGTTTATTTATCATATAGTAATAAGGTTCTTTACTGAACCCAATCAAAGAGCAAACTCGATAATGTCCGTAATACAAAGCAATCAGTTGGTTCAGTAATAAGTTAAAAAACACGGGAGCGCACAGATCACAACGACAGATGTCATTTGGCGTATTTTTGTGATGATATTATTAAATATTATTAAATATTAGATGCAATAAAAAGTTTAAATGGAAAATAAAATAAAATATTAAAACTTCATTTTCTCAACATTCCCATATAAGAGAGAAAAAAAAATGCACGGACATTCATTGGATATTAGTATGTATCATCTGTGATAGGTTTCGTTTGTGTCCGCTACTTTTCGAAAAGTGGGGCAAAAAGTTCCCAATGTCATTTTTCATGTTAGAGCTCTAAAGAAAAGCACACTAAGTTTTTAGTAATTTTTTGCAGTACAAACTGGAATAAACCAGTTTTGTGTCGCACGTTGTACGAACAAAGTTAGCCTATTAATTTAACACAGGTACGACTGTACTCAGTGTTGCACTATCAAATGCAATTGACGCGCCTCTATGCCAGGGTTTTTATGTTCCTGGTCAGGCTATAAATTGTAAATTTTTTTTGGGAATAAATTTTATTTGCCAAAATAAAATAATACAATAATAATAAAGATAGATTAAAGATAAGTAGCTACTTAATTAACCTAAACTAAACCTAATTTAAAAAAAAATAAAATACATGGCTTATAAATAAAAAAAATCCTTTAATCCGCTGTCTTGGGGGAAGGTGCACAGAAATAAAATTAATGAATTAAGTATGAAATGAAATCACCGTATTCACAGTCAATTATTTATTTACAAGTTCCTACTTACAAAGTTTACGTACTGCAAAGCAAGTGTTCAAAGTGTCCTCCGTTCTGATGAAGGCACAGTCACGGGCACAGTCTAGCACCGCGAAACGTATTTCACTTTAGTTTTCGCAACACAAACGTTTTATCTCAGTTTCAAACGCTGAAACAATCCTTCCACGTAACACGTTTACACTGTTTAGGTCGGAGGATCGTGGTGGCCATGCTAGTGGACCCCCACGTCCAATCCACTGTTCACCAAACGTATTATTTAAGTATTGGCGCACTTGACGTCCATAATGTGGCTCACACCGAAGTAACGGCCTGCTTGTCGGGTACTGGCACGGGGCTCCCTTTGAGTCCCTTTCGAAGAACTCGTGAATTGACTCTTGCAATTCGACTGAGTCCTACCTACGCTGCCTCGAGCTTTAGCGTGGATAGGGACATCAAACTGGCGATCTGCGTGGCACTAAGCATCACCTGACGGGATGTCCACATACATTTCCACGGCTTGTCGTAAACTGTTACCACTTATTGCATACAAGCGCACCATTTCCACTAATTCGTTGTTTGAGTACGCTTCAATCTTATTTGTATTTTAAAGTGATTTGTGATTGATGGATTTTTAATTTTTTTACAAAAGTGACAAAAAGTAATAATAGATTGCAATAGATATTTAAAAATACAATAAAAAGTAATAAAAGATCGATCTCCATCGCCATCGCTAACAAGGTGCCGATAATTAGTGGTGTGTTTAATAGAATGTAAAATAAAATAAAATTCTCAAGATTAAAAAACAAAATTTTAGCGCATTATTTTTTTACTGATTTGTGTTCAGTATCAGCATCATAGTTACCTCTGTAAATGGCAAGAATACAAAGTAACACCCTGTATTTCAATAAGGTTGCGTGTTCTCCGTCTTATGCAATGATTTCTGGCTCACAGTTTGGAATTTTAAATAATGAATGAATAATTTCAGAATTATTATGTAGGTACGAGTATTATTAACCACTAAGACATTGAGGGACGCTTTACGATGATAAAATTGTTCCTCTCAAAATTCCTCGCCTTTTTGACCTGGACATTTTGCGATCAGATCATTTTATGATCTGCACTTTTTCAACCACTGGACATTTTGCAACTTGGACTTTCTGCACCTAAACGGCGTACTTTTGTCAAAGTAAGTATGCATAATATTTTACGAAATCTGAATTTCATGGGCCGATCGTTGGATTGGACACATCGTGAATTCGCGATATGCCCGGATATTATTTTATGCCGACACTTCATGAGCTGCCTATCTTACACTAACCATGTTTTTTTCTTATTTTCTTATTTTTATTCGCTGCGCGCGGTTTCAAAATTGGCACACGTGGATAATTTGCTTTGTTCATAGAAAAATACGACACAGTTAACTACAAAGCTTAATAGACATGGTAAGCGAAAATAAGCCTTAACCTTTAAAAAATAAAATATGGGCACCCGCAAATTAGATTTTCAATAATAAACGCGAAAAATAGTACGATTAAACCACTAGATCCCGTCCAGTCCTCTTTTTTATCAGGATTATTGCAAACAATAATGCATCACTAAATACTGTAAATTCGTACACATTATCCCAAAATTTTCAATAATTAGCATAATATTTTTCATAATAACATCAAATACATTTTAAAACATACTTTTCTTGGGTGCGTGCATAAAAACACTAAAAAGTAAGTGTGGTTTTGCCGCCAACAGAAATACGTAAATAGATTAATGAAAAATATAATACAATTCTAAATATAAAAGTAGGTACTGCACGCAATTTAATTTTAAAATTACCACGTTTGCCAAAATGTAGAGATACAAATGATGTCGAAATGCTTCAGGTGGTGGTTTGGAGGCAGCGTTTATTTCGCGCTTCCTTTAAGTATTTGGCTGGCACTACCATACGTCTAGTAAAAGTAGCTTACTTTGGGACTAGAAAGTAGTTTTAGCTTAGGCTGGTTCCAATATTTAATCATACAGGTATTGCTCTTCATAAATACTTCACTTAATTGGAGTCTGTAGTGTTGATTGCAATGGGGTAAAAAGGGCCGCAAGGAATGTACTAATTAACATTCGTGTTAATAATTATAAACAAACTTGAATTATGTAGGTATTATAGAGGAATAGGAAATTACCTGTTGATACGAGTTATTAACACGGTATTACGACCTATCTTACATTAAAAACAATATATGAGAGAGACTTGAATGATGAATTAATCTAAAAGTTCTTCCAATTTTACCTAATTTTCAACCGACTTCAAAAAAAGGAGGAGGTTCTCAATTCGACCCGTATGTTTTTTTTTTTCTATGTTTGTTACGCGATAACTCCGCCAATTATGAACCGATTTGAACAATTTTTTTTTCTGCGTATAGGTAATACCTCAAGGGTGGTCCCATTTAAATTTAATAATAGAAAAAACAACCCCCAAGGGTGGAAAATTGGGGATGAACTTTTTTATACGCAATATCTCCGCCGATTATAAATCAATTTGAACGATTATTTTTTTGTTGAATAGGTATTATCAAAAGGGTGGTTTCATGCGAATTTGAAGAAAATATTTCACCCCCAAGGGTGGAAAATTGGGGATGAACTTTTTTATACGCAATATTTTCAATTTTTAGTTTTTTTTTGTGTTCACGCATTTGAAGTCGGTTTTATTTTTTTAAAAAGTTAATTCAATTCAAAACACAACTTTTAAATAGATATCAAAGATGAAGATAACACATCTTCATTATGTATTTAAAAGTAGTTTTTGTTATATACGAGTTTCAGTTTCAGCAACCGTGACTTGAAAGTAAGCGACAATTATTTTATTCTAAACCGCGATTAAGTGCTGCAGAACCGTCCTTTATCAGTCACGCTACTGTTGCATCGAACGTTCGCTCGAATGCAAGCCGCCAACGTCGAAGAAATAAAGTTGCAAATGACTAACCGTTCGTTATGGTCGACTGTACTGCATCGCCAGATAAAGGATTTGCAGTTTGTTTACAAGTTGCATGGGTGGTGCGGGACCGACCGGGCGGGGCGCGTCAGTCAGTGCGCGCGCGATGCGTTCGCCGGTGCACGCGTGCACTACAGCAGCGTACTAGTATCTCGCCGGGCCAGCTTGTCATGGCCAATTGGTCGGTGATGGATCGCGAGTGGCCATTTAACCAGTTCGATCCCTACCAATTCCCCTGCGACCAGTACTACCAGGAGAACCAGCAAGCGCCTCCATGCAACCCGCCGGCTCAACCGCCTCTACCAACAATGCCGCCGCCGCCGCCGCCGCCGGCGCAGACTTTCCAGGCTCCTTCGCCGGCTCTTGCTGCCCTGCTGCACCAAGACCAGCCTACCACTTCCAGAGGCCTCCCGTACCCTAGCATGCCACCACCACCGCTGCCTCGGGGGTATGTACCTACGACGGAATGCGTATTAACTATGAAGTAGTAACTCGATGCGAATGATGCGATGGTGCGCGAGTGAGCTATGCAGTTATCACCCACGTGTTTTTCTCGACCTGGCGCATTTTGCTAATAGAGTAGCAATATTATTATGATTCTACCAACCAGCCTAGAGCATTGTTTTATGTTCCTATACTTAGAAACGATTCGTTTTGCCTACGGACAGATAAACTTTTATGTATTTTCACACAATGTATTCCATATTTTATTCCCAGTAAACAAAACTAATAATTTATACAATTTGTGAACCGGAGTGAATACATAGAGATCCCTAAATAATTGTATTTTGTATGTGTTTCAATATCATATACATAAGAGGTAAATAAAATAGTGCCTATTGTCTTTTTATGAAAGAAAAATGTATGAGGTATTAATATACCCATTCAATTTTACTTTAATGTTGTATGATCATGATAATGCATGCATATATTTTTTTTATGAGTGAGTTTACAATGATGAGTTACTTAAGTCTATGATTAAAGTAATATTATAAAAATGATCTAAAGTTAAATTATCTCTAACGGTCAAATTCTACGAGTAGTTGCTATGCACCCTGTTTTTCTATGAGTTCAGAATTTTATAAGTGAACTAGCGGCCGTTTGAGACTTCGTACGCGTGGATCCCGTTTTACCCCCTTAGGGGTGGAGTTTCGTAAAATCCTTTCTTAGTGGATGCATACGTCATAACATCTACCTACATGCCAAATTTCAGTCTGACTGACTCACTGATCACTATGTCAGTGAGTCAGTCAGTCAGTCACCTGTGAGTTATATACAAGATTCTATACTAAGTTAGTGTGGTGTGATATAATTATATGTTCGGTACAGTTTGGTCGGCTTTTTCTGTTGCTGTTAAACAGTATTCCATTGATGAGAGCTAGCAGGGGTTGACCCAAGGAGTTGTTTTATGAACTCCATTATTTTCTCTTTTGTGTGGCACTGATAGTCCATCAGGTCCTGAGCGTTCAGATCCAGATAAGAATGAGCTTCTCTAGATCACGGTTTAAAAGCTCTTCAAAAACAACAATCTTATTAATTGTAGTGTAATCCGATCATCCCTTCTTTTTTTAAAGAAGCCACAAACCCCAATTTTTCATGGACATCACATGTTAGTGTTTCAAAGATGCATTTATGCGATGTTCCAGGAAAGATCTTAAGTGTTTTTCCAACAACATTGTCGGAAACATGTTGGGAGTCGATAGAGGGAGATCCTCTTATACTTGGAGTTTTTCATTCCAGCCTCGTAAGGTCTAACATTTTTTTTTGTCCGTAATAGCCATATACTGACTTATGCTATTAGCTGTGGAGTTCCAAGACTATGAGATGTGTTCAAGAGCTTGCTCAAAGTGTCGCTGCTGCTGTTGTGATTGTTTGAGCATCACGTCCATCTCAGCAGCAACTGTCGAAATGTCCGTCAATGCCACTCTTGCATTCCGTGTTATAGCAGCGGAGTATGCAACACTAGCCATTCGAATACAAGAATGAAGAACAATAGATCCATTTGTAATTTGACTCTGGAGTTCATCAATCAGTTGGGGCGCATCATCTTTTGATATGTTTATCAGATGTTTGTACTTTTTGAGGAGGTCCTTTCTATTGTCATTGGTAAGGATGCAAATCTTATCCAAGACTCTAAGGATTCTCTCATCAAGCAAGTCTTCAAGCTGAAGCCAATAATTCTTCAACTCTCCTAGCAGTTGCCATACTCCTTAAACTTCAGAAGGACTAGATTTAGATGGTCCTGTCACGGGTAGAGGGGCTTGAGAGGTTAACTCATCTTTTATCATCTCTAATTCGTGCTCATCAATTCCAAGAGACTCGATGTCCAGTAACTTATTCCCGGCATGATCGGCCATCTTCACCGCCTTTGTAATAGGCAAGGAGCACTTTGATTGTTTTTTACAAGTCGAGGAATGCTCATGTGCTCTTACATCCAATAATCCTGTAAAACCAAAATTTTAGCATTGTTTATATTAGGCTCTACTATTAACAAAATCTGCTGTAAACTTGTTAATTACTTGACGTGTTTATCTGACTGCCTACGCGTACACTTAAAAAACGTAAACAAGTAAATAAATCTAATTTACTATTAGTACATGTAGGTACATACATATACACATATTTATGGTATGGTATCTTTACGTAGGCAGACGAGTAAAACATAATTTACACTAATAAATGAAATGTTTTACACAGGGAATTAATTGATTTTCAACTTGTGAGTTATATGCCATCTTATTTTTTATAATGAAAACAAGTCTTATCATAAACAATTATTACAAGCGTATTATTACTTCAAGAATTTCAAACCGAACCGCGACGTCACTTATCAGCCAAACCTTGAATCGGCTATAACTGGTGATTGGGAACGTATTATATTTTTATGTAGAATTATTTTTGAAAAATACTTTAATTATGTTTTGTTCTATTATACTCGTATTATGACTTTTAATCTTCAAACTAATTGACAATGGAAAACTACATACACATTAAGCAAAACCAAGTTGTATTTTAAATATGTTTCCACCATAGAACCACATGCGTCTACCAAAAGATTTTCAAGCAAGGATTACATGGCTTTTTGTGACCTTCTACCCTTCCAGTGACTAATACAATCGTGAGCATCGAGATAGTCTAAGATATAGCAAGTTGAAGTTAGTTTAAAAAGTGTAGGTCTATTATCCAGCTAATCTTCATACTTTCACCTCGAATCGTACTCAAAATATAACGTATAATCAGTACGTAATATTTTGTTTCAAGTTAGATATAAATAAAACACCTGAATAATTGTGTTAATTGTAATCGCTCCGTCGAATTAATTTTATTCCCATCAGACAAATATTATATCTAATATTCGCACCTCTTTATCTGCAAAGAACAAAACAGTAGCGGTGTCTATTATTGATCGTTCTGCCCGCATTTACTTCAAAGAATAATTTCTAAAGAGTAGTTATGAGAGATTTATCCCTGTCTTGGATGCGTCCTCCATTTAGCATCCTGTTGAGATGCCCCTGTCGTTCAGTTGTCGACGGAAAACAAATAGACATGGAAGATTAATATGACAATACATAAGGTAAAGAAGTGGTCTAGAGAAAAACCAAGTGATTTTATCGGAGGAAAATCTGGCACTTTTACCACTATCTATAGAAACAGCAATACAATCTGGAAAAATCTAGCAGAAGAAATGTCTTGTCATTGTCTCATCAAAAATTTTTTTATACAATTATTCGTCATAAATAAGTTTATCTCTTGAATTTTAGTTTTATGACAATTAATACTTCGTCATGTAAATTGGAAAATTATTAAGCTTTTTCCGGAAAATTTTAATTCTTTTTCAAATGCTTACCTTACAGAGAAACATAGGCACAATTTTTTTACAATTTGGTGTTTTTATGGTTTTGGCTAATTATTATCTTGCACTTTCGTGATGAGTAGGTATTTTATCAAGTTTACAAGTACATTCAGATACAAACGATATTCGATTCATAATTATTGACCAAGTTGGATAAAGTGAATTTGAAATGTCATTTTGATGCTTCAATTTTGCATGCTAACTAATACAATAGCCTGATAGTCCAGTAGAATTAGCTTTTTAATCGGAAATAATTCCTACAAAAGATTTTATTGTTTTAATGGCTTCATTGGTTGCCCATTAAGACTCTCCTAAGTTTTCTACTTCGACGGAGTTGTGCTTAAGTGGTGGGGGCCCCCGAAAGGGTCATTTTTTCGGATTTCCGGTTATACCGCGTAAAGGACTTACCCTATCAAAAAGTGGTCTTCATGACGGTTGAAGGGCACTTAATCCTGCATTGAATAAGACCTAATTCATATGTTTTGGACAAACCGTTCTCGCGCTAAAGTTCGGCAAAGTAGAAAATATACGTATATTTAATGACCCTCTCCACGTCCAATGGTTTGTTACCCACAGGCTTCCAAGTCTTGAAAAGGGCCACCTCAACCAGTGTAACCCTATCAAGGCTTATGAGCTTGATGCGCCTATCTTTGTTCGTCCCAGCCGTTCCTTAACTGCGGTTGCTGTCCAAAACATATGAATTTGGTCTTATTCAATGCAGGATTAAGTGCCCTTTAACCGTCATGAAGACCACTTTTCGATAGGGTAAGTCCTTTACGCGGTGTAACCGGAAAACCGAAAAAACGCCCCTTTCGGGGGCCCCCACCACTTAAGCACAACTCCGTCGAAGTCGAAAACTTAGGAGAGTCTTAATGGGCAACCAATGAAGCCATTAAAGCAAAAAAATCTTTTGTAGGAATTATTTCCGATTTAATCAATTTTTGTGTTTAATTCTACTGGCCTATGAGCTATTAGTTGTAAAAAAGCTTTTAGCTCAATAAATAAATTTCTATTTTTTATAAACATTTTATGCTATCGGGTGCACTTTGATACAGTAAAATAACCATGAGTTCATCCTGTTTCAGCCTGTGACATTTTTTAAAGGTTTTCAGCTGAAAAGTATGCGGTTTAAAAGATTAAAATATTTTGAGTTATTAACTAAACCTATAAGTTATGTATTTAATCAAAGTACTTAGTTAAGTCATAAAACTTATTATTGAACATGGACTATGTACCTATGAGTGGCTTTTAGTCAAGTTAACGGTTTTAGATCATTGCAAAGTCGTCTAATTTTCCGTTTTTAGGTTCTACTTCCGAACTGGATTTCCCCTGATCTAAAGTTAACTTCAAAAACATATCACCTCTTGAACATCATTAAGATAAGGTAGATACCTACTTTAAAGTCAAAACCATAGCAACTGATTTGAAACATTTCCACTTCAATTCACCAAAAATCTCTAACGGTCAAATTCTAGTTGCTATGATCCCTGTTTTTCTATGAGTTCAGAATTTTATAAGTGAATTCTATACTAAGTTAGTGTGGTGTGATATATGTTTGGTCGGCCTTGCATTGTCCTTGTAATACGAGTAGCTTG